CCAGGTTTTCTCACATCCCCCCCACCCCCATACACACACAAACTCACTCTCCTGCTGGTAATAGCTCATCTAAACTGACCACTCTCCAAGTTTAAATCCAAGTTAAACCAGAACATCTGGGGGGGGGGGGGGGGAGAAAAACAAGAGGAAACAGGCTACCTTGCATAATGACTTAGCCACTCCCAGTCTCTATTTAAGCCTAAATTAATAGTATCCAATTTGCAAATGAATTCCAATTCAGCAGTTTCTCGCTGGAGTCTGGATTTGAAGTTTTTTTGTTTTAAGATAGCGACCTTCATGTCTGTGATTGCGTGACCAGAGAGATTGAAGTGTTCTCCGACTGGTTTATGAATGTTATAATTCTTGACATCTGATTTGTGTCCATTTATTCTTTTACGTAGAGACTGTCCAGTTTGACCAATGTACATGGCAGAGGGGCATTGCTGGCACATGATGGCATATATCACATTGGTGGATGTGCAGGTGAACGAGCCTCTGATAGTGTGGCTGATGTTATTAGGCCCTGTGATGGTGTCCCCTGAATAGATATGTGGGCACAATTGGCAACGGGCTTTGTTGCAAGGATAAGTTCCTGGGTTGGATTTGTGCTGGAAATGGCCCACCTGATGATCACTTTAGATAAGCTATTACCAGCAGGACAGTGGGGTGGGAGGAGGTATTGTTTCATGATCTCTGTGTGTATATAAAGTCTGCTGCAGTTTCCACGGTAAACATCTGATGAAGTGAGCTGTAGCTCACGAAAGCTCATGCTCAAATAAATTGGTTAGTCTCTAAGGTGCTACAAGTACTCCTTTTCTTTTTGTATAAATAAGTTAGTTTGAGCTTTTGCAGGGGGCTCACATCTATCTGGGTGCATTGGCAAAGCGCTTTGGTAATAAACAGAGTGGTCTGACAAATTCAGTGAGTCTTGAATCTGACTTTGACAGCGGGAAAGGCCGTTCCAAGTCCATGGAGGAGATCCAGGCTGCCAAGAAGGTAATCAGCCCCCATGGGATGCTCAGTGCCGGGAGAGGTGGGAGGGGTTCTGAGCAGGGACTCCATGCCTAGCCAGGGCTTGTTCTCCGTGGGTGGGGAGGCCTCTGAGTGAGGACCCACACTGAGCCAGGCTGGTTCTCCATGGGGTTGGGGGGGCTCTGAGGACTCACACTGGACTGGGCTGGTTCTCCATGGTGGGGGGGAGGGGGCTCTGAGGACCCACACTGGGCCAGGCTGGTTCTCCATGGCGCTGGGGGGCTCTGAGGACCCACACTGGGCCGGGCTGGTTCTCCATGGCGGGGGAGGGGGGGGCTCTGAGGACCCACACTGGGCCAGGCTGGTTCTCCATGGCGGGGGGGGGGGGCTCTGAGGACCCACACTGGGCCGGGCTGGTTCTCCATGGCGGGACAGGAGGCTCTGAGGACCCACACCAGGTCGGGGTGGTTCTCCATGGTGCTGGGGGCGGGGGGCTCTGAGGACCCACACCGGGCTGGGCTGGTTCTCCATGGCGGAGGGGGGTCTGAGGACCCACACCGGGCCGGGCTGGTTCTCCATGGTGCTGGGGGCGGGGGGCTCTGAGGACCCACACCGGGCTGGGCTGGTTCTCCATGGCGGAGGGGGCGGGTCTGAGGACCCACACCGGGCCGGGCTGGTTCTCCATGGCGGGGGGCTCTGAGGACCCACACCAGGCTGGGCTGGTTCTCCAGGGCGGGGGGCTCTGAGGACCCACACCGGGCCAGGCTGGTTCTCCATGGCGGGGTGGGAGGCTCTGAGGACCCACACCGGGTCGAGGTGGTTCCCCATGGCGGGGCGGGGGGCTCTGAGGACCCACACCAGTCCGGGCTGGTTCTCCATGGCGGGAGGCTCTGAGGACCCACACCGGGCTGGGCTGGTTCTCCCCTCCCGCGGGTTGGGGCTGGCGGGGCTCTGGCTCTGCGGCCCGTGCTGTGCGCTCCGTGCTCTCTTCCCAGGCGTTCCACACGCCCCAGAAGTCTCTCCCCAGCCAGGAGGACGCCAGCGGCTCCCAGGTACCTGCCGTCTCCTTCGCTGCCTCAGCCCCGAGGAGCCTGCCCTGGCCAGGAACCAGGCAGACCCTGCTCCCGGGCCATGTGCCTGGCAAGCCTCAGGTGGGTCTGGATGCACCCACAAGGACCCCGAGCCCAGAAAGGGGCCAGGAGCTTCTAGAGGGGCATGGGCTGAAGATGGCCAGGCAGTGCCATGGGTGGGGGCTGAGGGTGGCAGGGCAGTGCCATGGGTGGGGGCTGAGGGTGACAGGGCTGTGCCCAGGCAGGGGCTGAGGATGGCCAGGCAGTGCCATGGGTGGGGGCTGAGGGTGGCCTGGCAGTGCCCAGGCGGGGGCTGAGGATGGCTGGGCAGTGCCATGGGTGGGGGCTGAGGGTGGCCGGGCAGTGCCCGGGCAGGGGCTGAGGGTGGCAGGACAGAGCCATGGGTGGGGGCTGAGGGTGACAGGGCTGTGCCCGGGCAGGGGCTGAGGGTGTCAGGACAGAGCCCTGGGTGGGGGCTGAGGGTGGCAGGACAGAGCCATGGGTGGGGGCTGAGGGTGGCCGGGCAGTGCCCAGGCGGGGGCTGAGGGTGGCCGGGCAGTGCCATGGGTGGGGGCTGAGGGTGACAGGGCTGTGCCCGGGCAGGGGCTGAGGGTGGCAGGACAGAGCCCTGGGTGGGGGCTGAGGGTGGCAGGACAGAGCCCTGGGTGGGGGCTGAGGGTGGCCGGGAAGTGCCCGGGCAGGGGCTGAGGGTGGCCGGGAAGTGCCCGGGCAGGGGCTGAGGGTGGCCGGGCAGTGCCATGGGTGGGGGCTGAGGGTGACAGGGCTGTGCCCGGGCAGGGGCTGAGGGTGGCAGGACAGAGCCCTGGGTGGGGGCTGAGGGTGACAGGGCTGTGCCCGGGCAGGGGCTGAGGGTGGCAGGACAGAGCCCTGGGTGGGGGCTGAGGGTGGCAGGACAGAGCCTTGGGTGGGGGCTGAGGGTGGCCGGGAAGTGCCCGGGCAGGGGCTGAGGGTGGCCGGGCAGTGCCATGGGTGGGGGCTGAGGGTGACAGGGCTGTGCCCGGGCAGGGGCTGAGGGTGGCAGGACAGAGCCCTGGGTGGGGGCTGAGGGTGGCAGGACAGAGCCCTGGGTGGGGGCTGAGGGTGGCCGGGAAGTGCCCGGGCAGGGGCTGAGGGTGGCCGGGCAGTGCCATGGGTGGGGGCTGAGGGTGACAGGGCTGTGCCCGGGCAGGGGCTGAGGGTGGCAGGACAGAGCCCTGGGTGGGGGCTGAGGGTGGCAGGACAGAGCCCTGGGTGGGGGCTGAGGGTGGCCGGGAAGTGCCCGGGCAGGGGCTGAGGGTGTCAGGACAGAGCCCTGGGTGGGGGCTGAGGGTGGCAGGACAGAGCCATGGGTGGGTGCTGAGGGTGGCCGGGCAGTGCCCAGGCGGGGGCTGAGGGTGGCCGGGCAGTGGGCAGTGGCCGGGGTGGGGTGCCTGCCCCATGGAGGTGGCTGTGTCAGCCCTTAGCCTGTTTCCTCTGCGCCCCTAGGACACGTCTGTGCCTCGTGCTGCCCAGCCAGAGCAGACCTGAGGGGCAGGAGCTGCCCACGTGCTGGTGGCAGGACGTGTCCCTAGCTGGCGCCCACGGTGCATGTGTTGCCAGGGCAATGTCTGTCTGTCTGTCCATCCTGTCTGGCAGTGTTCCCCCCTCGCTATTCACTCCCTGCCAGGGCAATCAGTGCAGAGGGGTGCCGGGGCACTGCCCCCTCACCCACTGGGGGGCTGGGCTTTCCCCTCTGCTTTTCAACCCTTTCCGCCCTCCCACCACTCCCTGCCATCCTGCCATGCCCCCCGGTCTCCGGCCGGCCAGAGAGGTGCCCTGGAAACAGTTTGAGCCCTCCCCACTCCACAGTGTCACAGAAAGGGCCCCTCCTCAGCTTCCCGTGCCCCCTCCCCAGCTCCCTGCGCTCCCCTCCCCAGCTCCCCATGCCCCCCGCCCAGCTCCCCACACCCACTCCCCAGCTCCTGGTGTCCCCTCCCATGCCCCCCGCCCAGCTCCCCACGCCCCCTACCCAGCGCCCTGCGCTCCCCTCCCCAGCATCCGGTGCCCCCTTCCCAGCTCCTGGTGCGCCCTCCCCAGCTCCCTGTGCCCCCCACCCAGCTCCCCCCGCCCCCCGCCCAGCTCCCTGCACCCCATTCCCCAGCTCCCCATGCCCCCCACCCAGCTGTCCGTGCCCCCTCCCCAGCATCCGGTGCCCCCTGCCCAGCTCCTCACGCCCCATCCCCAGCTCCTGGTGCCCCCTGCCCAACTCCCTGCACTCCTCTCCCCAGCTCCCTGTGCCCCCCCCCAGCTCCCTGCACCCCCCTCCCCAGCATCCGGTGCCCCCCCCAGCTCCCTGCACCCTGCCTCCCCAACTCCCAGTGCCCCCCATTCAGCTCCTGGTGCCCCCGCCCAGCTCCCCACACCCCCGTCCAGCTCCCAGGGCCCCCCACCCAGTTCTCTGAGCCCTGTGTCCCATCTCAGGCTGGGATGGATGCAGAGGAGCCCCAGGGCTGTTCCCCATGTGGCCCCCACCCCCAGCAGGGCCCCAGGGCTGGGCAGAGCTCAGACCCCAGACCCACTGCCCCAGGCCAACCCCCAAATGCCCCCCAGAGTGCAGGGACCCAGAGCTGCGGCTGCTGCATTCCCATTCATGCCAATGGCTGAGGGGGTTGTCCAGCAGGGAGCTGCAGACAGCCCTGGCAGTGCCCAGGGTCCCCTGAGGACTGGCAGTGTGCGCTCCTCCTAGCCCAAACCAGCTGCCCCCAGCCCCCAATTTGGGCAACCCTCCGCCAATGTGCGGGGATGGGGGGGTCAGTCAGGCAGAATCCCACCTTGGGGCCCTTTCCTGCTGTGCTGCACCCCCAGTATCATCCCCCCACTGGGCCCCTCCCCCTCAGGTATTGTCCCCCCCACTGTGCAGCCCCAGTATTGCCCCCCACTGGGGCCCTCCCCCTTGCATATTGTCCCCCTATTGTGCTCCCCCAGTATCATCCCCCTCACTGGGCCCCTCCCCCACACCTCAGGTATTAGCCCCCCACTGCAATCCCCTTGGTATCACCCCCCCTCTGTAGCTCCCCAGTCCCTCCCCTCAAGTATTGTTCCCCCCCACCAGCTTTGCCCAGGCCCCAGAATCATCCTCCTGCTCTGCCCCTCCCCCCATTATTGCCCCCCTTGGGGCTGGAGGTGCCCAGTGCCCTGGGGGCAGGGGGCACGGCAGGAACTCCCGGCCCCTTTAAATGTTGGCAGCAAACTTCCTCCCCATTGCCGGCAGCTGCTTGGTCTCCAGCCAGTCATGTCAGCCCCTCCCTCCCGTCCTGGGGCTGGGCCCAGGCTGCTCAGAGCTGAGGGCTCTGCTGGAGCAGTGCTGCCGGGATCCACATGCCCCTGGCCCGCTGCACGCCGGCTCCCCCAGCAGGAGGGGACGGGAAGGAAGAGGGCAGCAGCCCTCGGGAGGACAGACCTTTCCAGCACCTGGGTGAGACCCCCACTGGCTCTGCTGCGTGCTGGGACCACCCCCTCCCCCTGGGGCACTGGAGACATCTGACCACGGCACCGTGCCATCTGGGCACCCAGGCCAGGAAAGGCAGCGCTGGGCTGGCCCCGCTCCTCTGGCGTACACGGGGCTGTCGGCAGGTGAGGACACTACGGCCTGCCAGGCGGGCATGGGCTGTGCTGCCCCCTCCCAGGGGCAGCTCCCTGCATGGAGGGTCCGGCCTGGCCTGGGAATGTAGCTGGGATGGAGAATGCCAGCACCCCCCCTGCTCCCCTCAACACATCAGGAAACGGCAGCAGAGGGCAGCTGGGGGTGGCTCCACACTCCCCCCTGGCCTCGGCGCTCATCCTGCTGGCCGTGCTCTCTGTCATCCTGGCCACGCTGCTGGGCAACGCGCTGGTGGTGGTGGCCGTCTGCACCAGCCGAGCCCTCAAGGCCCCGCAGAACCTCTTCCTGGTGTCCCTGGCTTCGGCTGACATCTTCGTGGCCACCCTCATCATCCCCTTCTCCTTGGCCAACGAGCTGCTGGGCTCCTGGGGCTTCGGCAGCCTCTGGTGCAGCCTCTACCTGGCGCTGGACGTGCTCTTCTGCACCTCCTCCATCCTGCACCTGTGCGCCATCAGCCTGGACCGCTACTGGGCCGTCACCAGGGCCGCCAGGTTCAACCTCCAGAGGAGCCGCAGCAGAGTCAAGGGCATGATCGGTGCCGTGTGGGCCATCGCTGGCCTGGTCTCCCTGCCGGCCCTGTTCACGGCCCAGCCACAGGCCAAGGAGTGCCTGCTGAACGACGACACCTGGTACGTGCTGGCCTCCTGCACCGCCTCCTTCTTCGCCCCCTGCCTCATCATGCTCGCTGTGTACTGCAGGATTTACTACATCACCAGGCACAGGTGCTCTGGCATCATCTCCGCCAGGCCTGGCATGGGCCAGCGCCCCTCCCCTGCCAGCTCCTGCTTGCCCACTGCCACCCGGAGCCCTGCAGAGCGGGACGCAAGCACAGAGCAGGGCAGCCACTGTGCCCACAAGCTGGGGCCAGCTCGTCCCTCCAGGCAGTGGGCGGAGGAGGAGGCCAATGGCGCCAATGCCAGCCTGAGAAGGCCCAGGAGGCCTTCCTGGGCACTGGCTCGAGGCCCCCGGCGGTGGAGTGAGCAGCAGAGCATGTCCATCTCCAGGAGCCGGCTGGTGCAGGCGCGGGAGCGCAGGTTCACCTTTGTCCTGGCCCTGGTGATCGGTGCCTTTGTCCTGTGCTGGTTCCCCTTCTTCTTCACCTACAGCCTGGGGTCGCTGTGCAGGGACGGCTGCCGCATCTCCAAGCCCCTCTTCAGCTTCTTCTTCTGGATTGGCTACTGCAACAGCTGCCTCAACCCAGTCATCTACACAGTCTTCAACAGGGACTTCCGCAGAGCCTTCCGCAGAGCCTTCCGCAGGCTCCTCTCCAAGGCCCCGCAGTGCCCCCGCCCTGGGCTGAACCCTGGCACTGCTCCCCCGCCGGGCCAGACCCCAGCAAGGCCCCTGCACCACTGCCCCGTGCTGGGCTGAGATCATTTCCAGCTGGGTACCAAACTGCTCTTGGCCTCCAGCCCCCATGCTGGGGTTCCCTGTCCTGGGCTATATGACACAGGAGACAAGCCTGGGTGTGGGGCTGGTGTCCTGGCCTGGGGTTTAGGAGTTCTGGAATTATGGGTTGGGTGGCCCAGGCTGTGAGTGGAGGGGGGCTGGAAACTCTAGCTGCCAATTTTAGTTTTCAGGTATTTTCAAAAATGCAGATTTTGGGTATTTTAATAAAAGAGACTGAATCACAGGCCAGGCCTGGCTCTTGGGCAGGGCCGGGCCCCAGCATCCGGCTCCTGGGCTGGGCCAGGACTCCACCAGCTGGCTCTTGGGCTGGGCTGGGGCTCCATTTCTGGTTCCTGGTCCAGGCTGGGCCCATGGGGTCCCAGGCAGCAGCTGAGCACTGGCATGAGCACCCCTGGGGGAAGGGTGCCCCTGCCCAGCCAGCAGAGGCAGCACTGGGAGCAGGAGCTCTCTCTACCCTGGTATTCAGGGGCACACAGGGAGAAGCCTGAATCTGAGCCCTGGCGGGGAGGGTGTGGGGGTCTCACAGTCCCAGGGTGGAGGTGTTTGGGCCTAGCCTGGCCCTGGAGATCAGGCAGCAGACTGGTCCTGTGCTTGGCCTAGGGGACCAATGGCCCCCACGGGCGTCCCCTCCATCTGCCCCAAAGGCCCTGTTCTCTCTGCAGCAGGCTCTGCTCGGCAGAGAATGGCCGTGCGCCTGGACTCGGCCCGAGTGCCCTGCAGTGTGGGGAGGGCTTGGCGCAGGGAGGGACACGTCCAGCGGCTCGGGGAGCCCTGGCATGTCCTGCCCCTCCGGTGTGGGGCAATTATCTTGGCAGGTTGGAGCCAGGCCTGAGCCTGCCCTGGTCAGCCCCTCTTACAGGAGGGGGAGGGGGTTCTAAGCCCTAGGGATTCCTGCAGGCTGTTCCAGAGGGACACAGGAACGCCCAGTCCTGGGTCCTGTCACTGACAGACCAGCACCAGCTGCTGCAGAGGGAGGTGCCAGACCCCTGCAGTTGACAGGGAGGGGGAACCTGCCCACAGAGTTAGCAGCTGGCTCGTGCCCTGGAGCTGGTCATTACAGAGTAAAAACATGGCCCTTCTGTTTTTACTCTCTAATGTCCATGGCTGTTCTCATTGGCCAGGGCAACAGCTGAGTCTGCCCTGAAGCCTAGTTTTTCTTGGCCCCAATGCTCTCTTGTGGCAGGGAGTTCCACAGGCTAACGGTGTGTGGTATAAACTGTGCTGCCCCCCAGGTGGGAACAAGGCCCCAGGAGCTGTTCCCTGCCCACCTCATGGGCTTGGGCAGAGCTTAGCCCAAATTACCCAGCTGCCCAGAGGCCGGGTTACCCCACATCCGGGCTTCCAGACACGGCCCCTTTTCTCTGGCTGGCAGGTTTGTCAAATAACGGGCAATGTCCGGGCTTTCCACAGAGCAGAGTGCCGATTGGTCCCTCCCCTGCCTCTGCGGCTGATTGGTCCATTCCCCTGCCGCCAAAGCTGCCAGCTCTGCCCACCCAGGGCCCGGCTCCCAGCCCTGGGGAGGGAGGTCCCGGCAAGGAGGCGCTGACTGACAGCTGGTGCTGCACCCCGGGCTTGCACCAGCCGCCCTGCCACCGTGACAGGGAGTGACGCTGGCCTCCGCCTCCAGCGAGTCACCCCACCACAGATACCCCCCAGCTATGCCCCCAGCTCCCCTCCCCGAGGCAGTGTCCTCTCTGCGGGAATCCGAAATACGGGAACCCCAGGCCCCAGCTTGCTGTGCCGCAGCCCCTCTGCAGGAGTTCAGAGCTGCCAGGAGCGGCTGGGCGGGGGGCACAGGAGCGGCTGAGGCACGGTGGGGCAGAAGGGGGCTTCAGGAGAAGTCCCTCAGGCCTGGGGGAACAGGGGCAGCAGCTCACAGATGCATGGCCCCGTTTTCTGACCTTGGGTCCAGCTCAACAGCTATTTTTGGGCTCTGGACGGAGAGCAGGGCCTGGAACGGGGCGCACACCACAAGTGCCTCCAGAGAGGGAGCTGGGCTGGCGTGACGGCACCACGGCTGGGCCCTGTCAGCAGCCTAGCACCTGGGGCTCTCCTGAGACCCTAAATAGCGGCGTGGGGCTGGGACACCCCCCCATCTCTGAGCAGCAGGAGGCCAGGTGACCCCCTCCCCAGCCTCCGGGCAGCAAGGAGTCAGCCACTCTGGCTCCATGGCTCACCTACCTGGGCTGTTTCCCATCGCCCAGCAGGGTAGCTTCCTGGGGAGATCTGCTTCCCCAAAGTGTGCGTGTGTGGGGGCAGATAACCATGCCCCCAGGTCCCCTCTCTGGAAGGCCCTGTCTCCACGGGGACAGGGTTCTGGCAACAGCTGAAACGTGCATCCTGTAAACATCTCAAAGGGAAAGTCTCTGAGCAGCTGCCAGCGCCCGAGGGTGCAGGGAGGGGTCAGCCCAGGCAGGCCAGGGGAGCGGGGCCTGAGGAAGCTGGGGTAGTGATGCCCGGGACTGTGCCCGCCAGGGGCAGCATGTGACATCAGTGCAAGGTTTGCTCAGGAGATTGCTCTGTAGGACTTCCCTGCCCCCACCTCCCACATGCCCAGCCCTAAACCCTACCCCTACCACTCACCCCCCAGGTCTGAACTGGGCCAGGACAGGGTCTGCACTAAGCCTACACTGTGCAGGCCAGGGCTGAACCCAAGGCTAGGACTGAAGCTGGGCTGGGTCAATTAGGGGCTGGGCTGCAATCATGGCCAGGCTGGCTGGGGGCTGGTCTGAGATCGGGGCCAGGCCGGGCTAGTTGGGGGCTGGGCTGCAATCAGAGCCCGGCCTGGCTGCTCAGCTCAGACATGCAGGGGTCAGTCACCATCCAGCTTCTCCAGCTTCGTAGCTCAAAATAGAAAATCCCCAAGCATCAAATCTTCCTCTGGCTAAAACCAGCTGCCAGCGCGGAAGTTTGGATCCCGTGGAAACAGGCCCAGCTCCAAGATCCTGGCTGCTCCAGTTCCCAGGCCCTGTGGTGCGGCAGGGTGGGCTCGGCGCCAGGGAACAATCCCTTGTCCCATGGGGAGCAGGATCAGCTTCCTCCACAGCCTCCAGTGTCCCCGCACGCTGCCCGCCCGGCCAGGCACACCCAGAGACTTCCCAGGCTGGGCGTGCGTGGAGGGGCCAAGTCTCGATCCTGGCTGGAGCTTGGGGAACTTTGCACCTGCGCATCCAGCTCTTCCCCATTCGGCTCCCTGAGAGCATCCTGCCCCGATGGGCCCGGCAGCCCCCAGAGTGTGAAGACCAAGCATCCATTGGTCCCGCAGCCCCTGCTGCTCTGAAAGGGCAGAGGTGGCTCCCTCCAGCTGCTCAGTCCCTCCCTGAGCTCCAGCTCCCAGCACCAGCTGCTCCAGGGCTCGGGCGCTAACCAGGGAGCGAGTCATCACCAGGTTCTGGCACCTGGGCAGCTGATGGGGTGTGCCCCCAGAGACGCAGAGGCCAAGTGAGGGTGTGACAGCCCCCAGGCAGGGGGTTTTTTGGGTGGGCATAGGGGGCAGATCCTGCTCTGGGCCCCCTAGCCCACGTGACCCTGTATGCAGGCGAGGTAGCGGGCCACGTTGGTGTAGATGCTGGGCTTGTCCTGCTCTCCACAGCCCACGCCCCAGCTGACAATCCCGTGCATCGTGGCCCGGCCCTGCTCCTCACACACCAACGGCACGGCAGAGCCTCCCTGTAGCACAAGGGGACCAGTCAGAGGAGGCAGGCCCCGCTCCACCACTCAGAGCAGCTGGCAGGCCTGGGGCTGGCCCCTCCCCATGGGCACCATGGCATTGGGGAACCCTGCAGTGCAGTCAAAGGGGGCTCATGGCACTGGGGGTGGGCGCGGCAGACGGGGGCCCCTGATGGCTTTAGGGTGGGCACAGCAGGGAGAGAGAGGGCATACCAGTGCCCTTGGGAAATCAGCCCCTGGCTCTCCCCTTTGAGGCGGATTCCCCAAGGATGAGCCAGCGCAACCCTGCCGCACACTGCCAGTCACTGGCAGCGAGTTGGAGAGCAAGGCCCGCTCGTGTGAATCAGGTGCAGAGGGTGGTCTGTCTCATGGGGGTGCCCAGGGCTCCTCCCCCTGGCATGGGGGTGCCCAGCACTGGGTGGGGGTGCTCAGGGTAGCGTGACAAAGCAGTGTCTCAGCTCACAAAGGGGCTACTGGAGAGGCTGCCCCTTCCTGAATTGCAGCCAGATCGGAGCTGACCCACCCCCGGCACCTCTTGCTCAGCTGTCTCACCTGGCAGGCGTTGGTGCCCCCCTGCAGGTAGCCGGCACATAACATGTCCGCGGTGACCCTGGCCCCATGCAGCCCGGGGGAGCGGCACTGCTCGTGGGGGATAATGAGGGGCACAGCTTCCTGCAGGTACTCGGAGAGCACCCCAGCCCCTGCCCGGGAGCTGTGTTGGGACGCCGGGCAGTGGGGGGGTCTCCGCGGGGGGGGGCCGGGGGGGAGGTCTGCGTGTTGGGACGCGGGGCACTGGGGGGGTCTCTCGGGGGGGGGGGCGGGGGAAGGTCTGTGTGTCGGGACGCCGGGCAGTGGGGGGGTCTCCGCAGGGGGGGGCGGTCTGTGTGTCAGGACGCCGGGCAGTGGGGGGTCTGGGGGGGGGGAGGTCTGCATGTCGGGACGCCGGGCACTGGGGGGGTCTCTCGGGGGGGGGGAAGGTCTGCGTGTTGGGACGCTGGGCACTGGGGAGGTCTCTCGGGGGGCGGGGGGAAGGTCTGCGTGTTGGGACGCGGGGCACTGGGGGGTCTTGGGGGGCGGGGGAAGGTCTGTGTGTCGGGACGCCGGGCAGTGGGGGGGTCTCCGGGGGGGCAGTCTGCGTGTCGGGACGCCGGCAGTGGGGGTCTCCGCGGGGGGGGAGGTCTGCATGTTGGGACGCGGGGCACTGGGGAGTCTCTCGGGGGGGCGGGGGGAAGGTCTGCGTGTCGGGACGCCGGGCACTGGGGGGTCTCTCGGGGGGCCGGGGGGAAGGTCTGTGTGTCGGGACGCCGGGCAGTGGGGGGGTCTCCACGGGGGGGGCGGGGGAGCGGTCTGTGTGTCGGGATGCCTTTGCTTTGGGCTGGATGGACTGGGGACTGTTTGCTCTGCGTAGGACCGGGCGCAGCCCCTGCCCTGCACAGCGCCATGATGTCCCTGCTGCTGGTTCTGCTGCTCAGTCCGGGGGCAACCGTCCCGGCAAGGTTCCCCCCCGAGGATCACAACAATTCACTCTGGCTTCAACCCTCCCTCACGCCCAGC